AATTATTTTATACACACACACACACACGCGCGCGCACGCGCGCGCGCGCGCATACATATATATATGTATTTCATATTTGTATTACAAATAAATAAATAAAATAATTAATTAATAATAATGATTTTACTAAATAATATAAAAAAGGAATTCTATAAAAAATTTTACAAAAGTAAATCTTGACTCACTGATCAACTCTAATTAAAATTTACATTTTAACTTTAGCAACAAGAAAATGATTACAGAAAATTAGGAAAAGAGAGAATTCATAGATATTTTTAATTAACATACAACTTTACTTAGCAAGAATTGATTAGCAATATAAAAGTAAAAATTTATAGTAGTGATACAAATTTCATAAATCGTTATAATGTGTTGTTTAAGCAATACCATTCAATATGTTCTGAAAGATATGATAAAAAAGTTAAATCCCGATAATATCTCTGGGTCTACCATCGATTGGTCGGATAATACTGTAGTTTAGTTATCGCATTATCAGCAGTGCCGGAAATTTTGCGATTCATGTTTGGGATGGTCCACTTACTTTTCTTACCTCGAAGAGTATAATACTTTTTGCTTGCAAAGAACCGAACGATAAGATTAGAGGTAGCAGCAAAATTTTTTTTTAACGACATCCTACGATCACAGCCTTATAAAGCCCGAAGTTTTAACTAAGTATAGTCTTTCAATAAATCTCGTCTCTGCGGGGACGAGGACCTGCACGGCTCTTCATCTTTAAGGTATGCCATTAATTATTTATTATATTCATTGCACCTCTCTTGTGGAACAATTATGATAAATATAAATAATATTTTTATTGATAAAAATTTATAATGCATATTCTTATCGAAAAATTGTATATTTTTTATATAACATTCAATGTGTAATTTACAAAATTTGTAATTTGTTTTCTTTCTCCCTAATTTTATATTTTTCTTGTATCATATTATTAAATTCTTGATTTAATTAAGCAAACAAAAATAAATATTAAATTATGTATAAATTTTGAGATTTTTTTTATGTATCACACAAATATTAACTAAAACATTTCAAAAATATTTTTCAAAATTAATGAAAATTAATATACTTGCAACAAATATTTAGTTTTTCTTAGATTTATTTATGTAAACTGTCATGCACCTTGTCATTACTCGATTGTATCTTAATTGTACGTAATAGAAATAAATTAAATCGGTG